ATCCAGCCTCTCCTCTGGTGTTTCCAACCTCTATGCCCCAATATGCCCCCAAACACAGCTCTGTTCTGCTAAATATCTCATAAGCCCAAACAAATGCCACTTAACACAACAGCTCGTCTAAACCACAACCATTACAACGCTCGCTGGGAGTTAGCAGGGAAACCATGTATTATTTAAACACAGACAACAGCAGTGAGTTATTTTAGAACGTAAAACTTTGACCATTCCTGTTGACTTAGTGGAGGGAGATTAGTATATCTGGGTTATGTCTCAAATGACACCCTATTCACTATATTGTGCATCTTATTCACAATGTAGTGCACTAGTTTTGACCAAAGACCCTCCTTGGTATGTCCAGTGCAGAGTTGAAAGAATTGATTAGATCAAAATAGCTTTGAAATGTTGGACTAATGAGGCATAGGCAACATGAGAGTAAAACCATTGCAAGAGCTCTCGTAAAAACCGTTGTGCAAGCAAGCTGAGAGCCCCCACATTGTAAAATTTTTAAATTACAAAATACAAATATAATTGCCACTGTATTTGGCTAAAGGACAATTTTACAAATGGGCAAACGTTGCTATGACGTTACAGACGCACTCAGGGAACGTTGTGGAAACTGTGTGTTGATCGAGGAAGGTCCTTGAGCAGGAGAGCACTTGAATGAGCTTCAGTCTTACTCCTCCTAGTGATTTATACATCCTATTTAGCATTTTAGAATAGAACAACTAATCAATGGCAAATTGAGTCAAACAGTTGACAATTTAGAATAGAAAACAAACCAATGGCAAATTGAGTCGTAAAAACATCTGAAACGTATGAAACTGTAGTATGAAACAACCAAACCAAACGTCTTTTTTTGTCACATTGTACTTCGAACACACTCAAAATGGTGGCAGTTGTAATGGTTGTATGTATGGGCACTGATTGTACAGATGAAATTCCTTTCACAGTTTTGTCAACCATTTGAGTCTTTTTGAAGGGGCAGGATACTTTCTCACACGTGTCAATGGGATTTGGAGCCAAAATTACAAAAAAGTCACCTTTCCGAGCGTGTGTTTTTAAACGTTCTCGCCAGGTTCCTTGAGAATCCCTCAGTGTGTGAATGGTGAAGGGCAGAGTCAGTCACAGTTAGCCTCCGGTAGCATAGCAGTTCCTCTGTAGAGTTTTCAAGTGTAGTGTCTTTAAATCCCCATAATTGTTTGTTTGTTGTAGCTGTTTCAGTCAGGAAGACTGGAGAGTCTGGAAAGAGTTCTGTAAATCCAGTGAGATTTCCTCTTTCACTGAGAGAGCTGGCATTGTGACTGTTTCCTTCCATTACCTTGTCGGTTCCAATGGAAAACAAAAATGGCGGCACTATGGATCTGTATGGAATCTGACCTTTGACCTCGGATCAGTCTCACATCATAAACCAATCATAACTCAACACTACTTCAACCAGAGCGAGCTGTGGGAACCGAAAAAAACACCCCTTGTAACGTCCAGGTAACATTATATAACATTTACTCATTTTAACCACACTCACACACTGGTTTGTACTAATCAGGCATTATTTCTTCACAGGTGAAACAAGATGACATACTTGGAAAAAAGAAAAAGAAGGGAACATCAAGAGGGAGAGAAAGTGGAAAAGGAGGGCGTGCTAATACAATCCCCCTTGTGGAGGAGGAGAGCTAATACAATCCCCCTCTCGGAGGAAGGTGATTTCCAGCTAGGTGGACAGGTGTTATGCTGCTGAGGCCCATGCAGAGATGTCGTGTTCGATCGCTACACACTGCTGAAGCCACATTCCCATTAGGCCCATGCGCTGAGGGGCGTGTGTGTGTGTGTGTGTGTGTGTGTGTGTGTGTGTGTGTGTACAGCGTGGAACAGTGAACACTCATACAAGAGGAGATAGAGAGTGAATAAGCGAGAGAAAGAGAGAGAGGTACTGAAATTCACTTCATTTCGGAACATGTTCTGCTTATGGAAAGTATTTCCTTGGCTACCACATTACAACACTGTTGCTATTGATAGAAACGTACCCTATTGACCCCTATTAAAAATAAAATCTATCAGTTAAGTCAATGCACTAAGATGCTGTATGTAAGTCATATCGGCCTATCTAACCTGGGAGAATTCAGCACAGGATATCCTGTTTGCCATTTCTCTAGAGAAGTGACTCTACACCCTATCAGTGTGTCCTTGACAGTGTTGGGGAAGCTACTCTGAAAATATAGTTTACCAAGTTACCAATTACTTCACACTGGAAGAAGTTATGCTACATATAAATCAACCCTTAAGAAATTGTTTATAGTTTACCTTACTAAAGTTACTTTTAAAAGCAGTTCACTACATCCAAACTACTTCATGAAAAATTATATCTAAATCTGAAATGTCATAGAATACAAATAGCAAGAACAGATCACTCTGTAGTCAGATGTTAACAGAATGTGTAATTTATCCTATTAAACACAAAAATGATGTTTCAAGTGAGAATTAGGCAGATCTGATGCCATATTTCCTTTTCTTTTTGCAAAAAACGTAGTGCGTAGTTCCAGTAGTTAGCTAGACCGCTACATGGCAGAAAAGTAATTAACTACTGAAAACTACTGAATTTAATTCAACTACCACCAAGCTACTGCAAAATGTAGTTGAATTACTAGTTGGACTACATGTAGTTCACTACTCCCCAACACTGGTCCTTGATAAGCAGCCAGCTGTTACAATGTCAGACTACCTCCTATAGGATTAATATTTACAGGTCACTCCACTGAAAAGGTTAACAGCTGGATCATGCATTGAAGTGGATTAGGTGAATGTGCCCTCTCTATATATCTGTGTGTGTGTGTGTGGGTGTGTGTGTGTGTGTGTGTGTGTGTGTAGGTGGATATGAGCTGTTCTGTCCTTGTTTGTGCATTTCTCCACACTTGCCTGTCAATATTCCAATCCCATATTGTGGATAACTTGGCCTCGGATCGATAGGCTACAGAAGGTCAATGACCCTAAGGGCATAAAACAACAGACTCCTAATCAACTTTCGAGCCAGGCAGGCAGATCTAATTCAATTAGCTTAGATTAAACACTCTACACACAACCCACCGATGCATATTGACCGACCCTATACACACACGCACGAGCGTGCGTGCGTGCACACACACACACACACACACACACACACACACACACACACACACACACACACACACACAACCTCCCCATGACAGAGTCTTGTTTAATTGCTAATTAGTGTGTCTAATTAAAGTGGACATTCATGGTGTTAATATCCAAAAAGAGGTGTTGGTGTTAATTAAAGGTATACCTTCTTTCTCCGCCCCTCATTCAGTTTCTATGAAATAAGAGGGACAGTATTCCCGTGAGCTATAACTGCTGTACAGTGTAACTGTGTGTGTAAACGTGTGTGAAGTGAGTCGCCAGTGAAAGACAATGATCCATTTTAGATCACATTATTAAACGTGGCGTGGACGTTTCAAGCCACATTCATCGAGACAAAAGGATTGCCAGCAGCACACAAAGTGCTCACATCAAATGATGCAAATGGTTTGTATTTTAGCTCTGTTAAACCACATTAATCTGCTTACATGAATATGCACAATACGCAGAATGTATCTCTCTCCCCTCTCTCTTTTTTACTGTATTTTTATCTCTCTCTGTGTTTGTGGGTCTCTCCATCTCTCTCCATCTCTCTCTTTATCTATCAATAGAACCTTGTGAGTCACAGCGACCCCTACCCCAGATACCAATAACAACAATACAGCTTTTCACAATATGATTCACATTCACAGGGTCCAGGTTAAATGTCTGATCATATATCAGCATGCAGGGCCAAATACCTCCTACTCCTCCCTATTGCTCCTAGCTGCATGTCTCTGCTCTTGGGGCGGGGCTACTGTTTAACACTGCTGTGTAAATTCCCTATCTTCACAGTACGTTACCCTGCCTGCCTGGTTGGCTAGTCCTGTGCTGTGGCTGACTGAAGACCCTAAGCCTGCATCCCAAATGGCAGCCTATTCCATAGGCCCTGGTCAAAAGTAGTGCACTATACAGGGAATAGGATGGCATTTGAGACACAACCAAAGCCTGCATCCTCACACCGTAAAGACTCCTTCAGTGTTTTCAGTTTTTCCTTTTTATTCCTCTCCGCTTGCTGTGTGTCTGTGTGACTGTGTGTCTGTGACAGCCACTATTGAAATGCAAATGGTTGTGCAGTATCCAATAGCAGGGCGGATCTCAGGGATAGGAGGGAGAGACTGCTTGACAGCTTTGTTCAAAATCACAATGTTTTCCCCCCTTTGTATCTCTCTCTCTCTCTCTCTCTCTCTCTCTCTCTCTCTCTCCCTCTCTTTCTCTTTTTCTTTCTCTCTCTCTGGGTATATTATCTCACTGTGTTTCTGTCTCACCAACACAGACACACACATTATCTCCTCGCCCTACATGCGCCAAAAAACATGTGTAGGAGTTTAGACTGACTCATACCACACACACACACAGACACACACACATACAGTACACTCGATGTCACACGCATACACTCGACGCAGACACAAACATGCGTTACTTCATCTGAGTTCCTGTCGCTACACACAGATGAAAGCGTGGCACAGAGAATGACACTCCAACAAGTGAATTCCACATGAAGTGTTCACTGAATACTGATTGGATGGTTGGCCTGGGCACCCTGTCTCTAATTATAACTGCAAAGAGGATGAGAAGGTTCCAGAAGTAGTGCTACTGTCCACTCCATTCACTGTCACAATGACCCTGCTGTACTATCATCTCTCTCAGCTCTGGTCCTGCTGATGTTAACACGGATCAATGAAACCTACTGTAAATGAATCAGGCTCCGTCAGACTCAACTTATCTCTTTCATCACCCTCATTCATTTCATTTTCTCTCTTTTCCTTCGGCTGGTCATCTCAAATTGGCAGTTCACCGGGATCAACAAGAGAATCATTACTCAAAACTCAATTTCCCACAATGTCTCACTTCCTGTCTTCCTTTTAAAGCTTCTGCTGGGCTGACACGCCCTTCCAGTAGTCAAGGATGTCGTGGAGGTCCTCCCCTTTGGCGAACTGCACCTTCTTCCTTAAGGCGTTCCCGGCCGTGACGTAGCACGACTCATCCCGCTGGCCCTTCCTGTAGGGCCGGAACCTCTCCCAGATCCTCAGGGAGCTCTCCGAGGAATACTCAGGGCTGGAGGAGTACCCAGAGTAGTTTTGGTGGCGGGAAGGTGAGAGCTGCGAGTAGGAGGCGGCGTCACGGCGGGAGCGGGTCAGGGGCTTGAGGAAGGAGGCCCTCTGGTGCGGCGAACCCTGGTGGGAGCCCTCGTAGTACAGGGCCGGGACGGAGTGGCGGTGCTCTGAGCAGTGGTAGTCCTCCTGCTGACCCTGCCCCTGTCCCTGTCCCTGCTGCTGCTGCTGCTGGTTGGTAATACCATCAACACCACCACCACCTCCACTACCACACCCACCACCACCCCCACCTCCTCCCCCGCCGCTCCCCACCAGAGGCAGCCGCTCCAGGGGCTCTCCACACCCCACGGGGCTGCCTCTCTCTCCTGTGTACTGCTGGCAGGGGTCTGGGCTGCGGGGCTCGTGGACGTCCAGGCTGTAGACCCGGCCTCCTCCTCCGGTCCCTCGTTCCCGGTCACGTCCCATGGAGTTGCAGGACGAGGTACTGCACTGCTTCTTCACGGTGCTGATCACCACCGCAGCATCAGCGCTCATCTGCTTCTGGATGGGGCGCACAGCGGACGCAGGGGGAGGGGGCCGGTAGGGGGGCGACACAAACCCCCGCCGCTGATCCCCGGACGCTCCGAGAGAGGGACGGAGAAGGGGAGCGGCGGTGGAGGGGGGATCTTGGTGGTAGGGGAGGGCAGGCCCGGGCAGGTCTCATTGACGCCAGGGGAGAGGGGGATGAGGCCACGGGTCAAGGAGGAAGTGTAGGTGGGCGGCGGGTGAGGTGGGGTAGGAGGTGGTGGTGGTGGTGGAAGAGGCGGTGGAGGAGGCGGCCATGACAGAGTCCAGCTTCAGGGCGTCGATGCAGTTATTGATGATCTGGTTGACCTTATCCACCTCCATGGCGATGGTGGAGATCTCCGAGGCCGAGCCTCGCCCGTCGTCGTCCGAATCCTCCCCAAAGTCCGTCCCGTCCTCCTCTCTTAGATCCTCATCCCTCATCCCTCCCTGTCCTCCTCCAATCCCTCCATCTCTCATCACCCCCGTCCGTCCTCACGTCCATGTAGTTGCCTTTGCTGGTCAGCATGGCCTCGGAGAAGGCCGTGGCCATCTTATCCTGAGGGATGGAGGAGAGTCTGGAGGAAGAGGTGTTGGCGGAGTGGAGCATGCCCGAGGAGGAGGAGGCAGACATTGGCAGCTTGCCCCCGTGCGTGTGGTGCTGGTACTGGTGGTGGCCCTGACCCTGGGCCTGCTCTTGGAGCTTCTGCACCGCAGACGGGTCGTTCCCCACGGCCGCCGCCACGTCCGGACCATACCTCATTTCTAGAATCGTCTTCTTCACACAGATGGACTTCTGCTTCTCCTCATGCCTCCTCTTCTTCCTCAGACAATAGTAGATGAGGCCCAGGATGCAGAGCATCCCTAAGAGGCAGCCCACAATGGTCAATATGTAGTGGGTGGTGGTAGGAAGGTTTTGGCGGTATGTCGTCAGGGGTTCTGGGCCTCGGGTGGAGAACTGGAGGCAGGTGTGGTTGTAGCGTTGGGAGGATCCGGATGGAGGCCACGCAGAAGGTGTAGTTGGTGTGTGGCTTCAGCTTGTTCAGCGTGATCATCTCCTTTTTGAGCTTCAGGTTCATTACGTCAGAGACAAAGGTGTTGTTGTACTGCACCAGGATGTACATCTTGCTGTAAGGTCTGGGGATCTGGACCATGATAGAGGCCGTGAAGAGGGACACGTGGTGGAGCTTGATGCTGGGGCTGAAGCTGTGCTCCGTGGAGGAAGACGAGGTGGTGGGCTGGTGGTACGGACCCACGCGGTCCAAACATGTCCGGGCCCATTCCGGAGGAATCTGAGTCTGGCGGGAGAGACGTCATCCCGGGGATGAAGACCCCGTCCCGGCAGACAGAGGACAGAATCGTCCGAGCGTTGTGCCCGACGTTGCCAGACGCAATGGGACTCAGGAGTGGGTAGCCAAACATCTCCCTGGGGGTCTCGCACTGCAGCCGGTCGTAGGTGTGTGTGACGTTATTGAAGGCCTCCAGCCAGGTGAGGAAGTTGTACAAGTCACAGCCACAGTGGAAGGGGTTCCCAGCCAGCTCACACACCATGAGGCGGTTCAAAATGGTAAAGGTGGACGGTTCGAGGCGGGCCAGCTTATTGGACGACAGGTCAATGCTGTTGAGACTGAGGCACTCATCCAATGCATTGTTGCCAATGACCTTGATGAGAACGGAGAGAGACAGAAAGCAATATATTTTAAAAAAATCTGAACCATGTTGTACATACAGAATAATATCAATTTATCTTTAGTAAATAGTAGCACTGAAATACTTTTAAAACTACATAAATAAACAAAACTCAACCAATGCCACACCTCTATGAGGTTGTGCTGGAGGAAGAGGCACTGCAGCCGTCCCAGGCCCCTCATCATGGCTTCTGTCAGGTTGGTCAGCTTGTTGTAGCCCAGCTGGAGGACCTAGGAGAGAACCACAAAGGATTACGTCAAGATTGAATCAATCAATCAATCCTCCCACCCACCCACCCACCCACCCACCCTCCCACCAATCCATCCACCAACCCACCACCCAGTGTACCTGTAGGTTGGCCTGTTGAGCGAAGGCCCCATCCTCGATGTAGGAGATCTCGTTCTTGGTGAGGTTGAGGTCCGTGAGGTTGGTGAAGCGGTACATGGAGGTGTAGGGGATCATCTTGAGCTTGTTCTCGTTGAGCCTCAGGTCGTGGACCGTGTTATTGATGTGTTGGGGGATGGTCTCGTATGGAGGCTGGTTCTGGCTGCAGATGGCTAGCCACACGTAGCCCTTGTCCCCCTCGATCAGCCAGCAGTCCCCCCAGACCAGGCTCGGGAGGTGGAGGAAGAGGAGGAGAGAGGGAAGGATGAGGAGGATGGGGGTGGATGGAGAGGAGGTGGAGGAGGAGGAGGAGGAGGAGGAGTGAGAGCGAAGCCTGCTAAGCATGATGGAAGGAGGAGGAGGACGAATGAAGAGGGAGGTGTTGTTAAGATGGAGGAAACGTGGGATTGAAATAAGGGATGGAGAGGTTTTAAAGGAGAAAGAGCGTGGGGGATGGACTGGGGTAGCTAGGTTGTCCTCAGAAAGGGGAGAGGGGTTTAGCTTGGGTGTAGAAAAAGAGGGAGGGGCTTCACACAGCCAGTCACAGCTGTATGGTCGTCATGGTGATTAGCAGAGTCGCCATGTCTTGTCACTTCCTGTTGGACTGCCGTGGTGAGTGAAACAGCTATTCCTCATACTCTTACTCTCTACGACGGGAGGTCTTGTGGATTGATTGGTTAGGAAAGTAACAGGATCTGCTGGAGAGACGTGAGTCTGTGGAAGAGAAGAGAGGAAAACCGTGAGGCAACAATAGAGTGGCAAATGACAATAATAACATGGAATGTACATGGACTGTAGCAAACAATATAGAACACAAAAGGCTAGTGTTGCATACAGATGGAGTGTCTTCATTTGAGCACCCTGTTGCAGGAGAACTTTCCTGCAATGCAGGAAAACGTGTAATGTATTTGAGATTTTAAAAGGCTTCTGAAGTTTGTAATTTTCACTTTGACATTTTTGACTTGATTTCCCCCAAAATGTATCAACCCTTACAAAAATGTCCATTAATTATAATCCACATAATAATTCACATTTCCTGTTGCTGCAGGATTATTTTCCTGCTGTAGCAAACTGGCTCAAATTAAGATCCTACATCTGTATAAAAACCATAATCACATGGGAAAGCTATAAAACCAGGTGCAATTTTAGAAAACAATGATTTAACGTGGCACTATGATGTAGGAGACTATTCCTATAAAAGCACACACATCCTCATTCCTCAAAAAGCAATAAAACGAACACAAAAAAAACATCCAGTTTATAGATGAATACACATCCTGAATGGGAGTCGGAAAATGTACTGTTTAACACACACCAGCATAACCCCTTTCTCTCTGACAGCCACTCTCTGCAAAGAGAACAGATGCTTATTCATGACCATCATGTGTGACCAGAAAACAGCACTCGGAAATAAAGTGCCCTGCATAAAACCTCAACACAGAAACCCAGCTCATGAATACATGATGTTCGTTTACAACATGCCTCATACTGGCTTCGGCGCTAATATCTGTGCATCTTAAATCTTGTGAATGTGACACTCAAGGTTTATGGCTCCGCTGTGGATTAATCTGACAAGTGACACCTCATACAGTCTCTCCACCATAAACCCCAGGAATCTTCTCTACGAAGATCACTTATGGAATCTATTCTAGGTAACACGCTCTCTTGTATAGCTAATGTATGTCATGGTGGCCCATGTTTTGATGTATTACAGTGGAGGGTGCTGAGGGGAGGACGGCTCATAATAATGGCTGGAATGGAGTCAATGGAATGGTATCAAACACATGGAAACCATGTGTTTGATGTGGTTGATACCATTCCATTGACTCCATTCCAGCCATTATTATGAGCTGTCCTCCCCTCAGCAGCCTCCACTGATGTATTAGGGCTGGGAATAGCCAGGGGACCTCACCACACAATGTTATCACGATACTTAGGTGACGATACGATATGTATTGTGATTCTCACGATTCTTACGATTCTATATGCATTGCGATTCAATACTGTGATTTTATTGCGATACGATGTTCCAAACATATTGCTCACCATATATCTGCTGCAGAGGGACAAGAGAGAGACATGTGAAAATTAGCTTTCTTTGATTAGTCATGGAAACAAAAGTGCTGACAACAAATTGGCTGCCTATTTAAAAATAAGATGGAGAACAAGCTATGAAGGAAAAATACTGTTTTGGTGCAGGTACAGCTAACCAGCGCAAAAACAACATTGCGATATTGTCAAAACGATACGATATATCGTCAAAAATAATATCCCAATATGTAACTGCATCGATTTTTTCCCCCCATTGCTAGTATGTACGTGATTGAAAGGATCATTAAAATATGTGTTGTGTGTCTAAATAAGATGCGAATGGCACACCAAGTTAAAACGCCAAAGGGAAGGAGTGATGGGAAGAAGAAAGGACAGTAGGATGGAAAGAAAATAGGAAGGAAGGGAGGAAGGAAATAAGGAAGAAATGACGGAAGTAAGTAAGGCGGAGAGAAAGTAGGAAATAATATAGGGAGAAAGGGCGAAAGGAACGATGGAAAGAAACTGAGCTGAGGATGACGAGACAACCTTCCTCTCCACAGGGTGCCATCCACTCAGACTAAGTTTCTGTCCCTGACTTTCATTTGTCCTCATCATGTTAAACTATTCACGCTGTGAGAAATCTCCTAGTCCCACCACTCCTGTGTCTGCACTTCCTGGATCCCTAGGTAGGAGAGCCCCCTGCAGGAGGCCATCCATCTCACCCTGACACCCATCCATCAACCTGTCCCTGTCAGTCTCTGTAGAGGAGATAGGAGTGTCACACACCACGCTACATTAATCACCTCAACCTCCGAGACTGCTCGATCTCTCCCTGTTGACTCACCTGTCACATTATTACACAATATACATAAACGTACTTATACACACACACTGGTTTGCATGCATGCAGGTACACACACACACGCACACCACCCTAACGACTGTACCTATGACAGTGAGTTCATCTTTCTATAGACTCTCTAGTCACATCATACAATCCTTCACCATCGGCTCTCTATTCAATCTGCATGTCATTTGAATGCTAGTCACATAGTTATACAAGCCAGGATTAACAGTATTTTTTGTGTTGTGACAGACAATGTCTTCCTCTCGCTATAGCTGACAGTCAGAAAGCTCTCTCTCTCCATGGAACCAGAGAATTACTGAACAGTCCTAGTTCCACTGTTCTCAATTCTCTATTCCGATGGAGAATTGGAACTCATTCCAGTCTATTCTAGTCAGTATTCCCCAATGGTGAGAGCCAAGTATCTGGTCCAATTTCCCACTCCGTTTTCTGATTACTGCTGAAAATGGGAATACCCAAAGCACTTAGGATATAATACATCATCAGCACCTCATACTGATTAGAGTTGTGGGCTGTTGCCACTGGAATATTCCCTTTAGGGGATGTCTCTATGAAAACATGCTAGTGTAGTCAAAGGTTGTAGCCTATTTAGCACGTACTATGTGTATCAAGACAGTTAGTCCAGATAGTCCCCCTCTGTCCTCCCTTTCATTAAATAATCTTTTCCATGCTACCCCGTTGACGAAATCGACGACTCTCTCTCTCCACATCGCTTCTCTCTCCCGGGAGAGAAGACCTCTTATCTACCTCTCCTCATGCTCCTTGCTACTCTCTCTCTCTCTCCTCCGCTTCCTCTTCCTCCCTCCTCTCGCTCTCTCTCTTCCTCTCCTCTCTTCTCCTCTCTCTCTCTCTCTGCCCTCTCTCTCTTCTCTCTCTCCTCTTCTCTCTCCTCTCCTCCTCTCTCTTCTCAGAACTGATTCCATTTAGTGCTCCATATAGGGAACCCCAGAGGAGAAGTAGTGAACGAGGGGTGGGGGTATATAATTACGACTAGGTAGGTAACGGAGATGGGGCGACCTTATCAATGATAGGGGAGAAAGAGCATGTTCCTGGTTGCAAAACAGATGTACAATGGCTGTGATACAACAGATATGTTTGGTAAGTTTGTCTGCACAAAATGCTTTACATAACCATTGTGTGGTGTACCAGAACTATAAAAGCTACAGGTAACTGTCAAAATAATGGAAACATTACATGAGTAAATTAGGGATACAAAGTATATTGAAAGCAGGTGCTTCCACACAGGTGTGGTTCCTGAGTTAATTAAGCTATTAACATCCCAGCATGCTTAGGGTCATGTATCCTGGGCAGGCCATTATTTTGGCTACCATGGCTATGCCCCCATATGATGACAATGCCCCCACCAACAGGGCATGAGTGGTCACTGAATGGTTTGATGAGCATGAAAAAGATGTACAGTGAGGGAAAAAAGTATTTGATCCCCTACTGATTTTGTATGTTTGCCCACTGACAAAGACATGATCAGTCTATAATTTTAATGGTAGGTTTATTTGAACAGTGAGAGACAGAATAACAACAACAAAATCCAGAAAAATGCATGTCAGAAATATTATAAATTGATTTGCATTTTAATGAGGGAAATAAGTATTTGACCCCTCTGCAAAACATGACTTAGTACTTGGTGGCAAAACCCTTGTTGGCAATCACAGAGGTCAGATGTTTCTTGTAGTTGGCCACCGGGTTTGCACACATCTCAGGAGGCATTTTGTCCCACTCCTCTCTGCAGATCTTCTCCAAGTCATAAAGGTTTCGAGGCTGACGTTTGGCAACTCGAACCTTCAGCTCCCTCCACAGAATTTCTATGGGATTAAGGTCTGGAGACTGGCTAGGCCACTCCAGGACCTTAATGTGCCTCTTCTTGAGCCACTCCTTTGTTGCCTTGGCCGTGTGTTTTGGGTCATTGTCATGCTGGAATACCCATCCACAACCCATTTTCAATGCCCTGGCTGAGGGAAGGAGGTTCTCACCCAAGATTTGACGGTACATGGCCCCGTCCATCGTCCCTTTGATGCGGTGAAGTTGTCCTGTCCCCTTAGCAGAAAAACACCCCCAAAGCATAACGTTTCCACCTCCATGTTTGACGGTGGGGATGGTGTTCTTGGGGTCATAGGCAGCATTTCCTCCTCCTCCAAACACAGCGAGTTGAGTTGATGGCAAAGAGCTCGATTTTGGTCTCATCTGACCACAACACTTTCACCCAGTTCTCATCTGAATCATTTAGATGTTCATTGGCAAACTTCAGATGGGCCTGTATATGTGCTTTCTTGAGCAGGGGGACCTTGCGGGCGCTGCAGGATTTCAGTCCTTCACGGTGTAGTGTGTTACCAATTGTTTTCTTGGTGACTATGGTCCCAGCTGCCTTGAGATCCTTGACAAGATCCTCCAGTGTAGTTCTGGGCTGATTCCTCACCGTTCT